GGGGGGGGTGGTGGTCCAAGGGGGCCAAGGCCCCCTCAAGTTTTCAGAAGACACAAAAAGTGCCCTTTTTCCGGTGGCAAAGTGCCCTTTGCCTTCGTGAAAAATGTTGTTCAAATTGCATTTTTAACTCACGGATGTTGCAAAGCAACATCTGTAAGTCTTTGTGGTTACTTGAGTGTGGGGCAGTTAATTAAACAATGAGAAATGACCAGTCTGCTTGCCAAGCGCTGTTTGCCTGCGAATTGGGTCTGTTAGAACCAGAAATCTGGCTGGAGCAGGACAAATGGCAAAACTAGCACGGTGCTCTTGAAAAAAACAACTACAAACTGCTTTAATTCTTTCTGTCACTTTCGTTTGATCTCACTCGTGAATCGCCCCAATGGCCTTTGATGTATGATTGCATTTATTTTCCCTTATCTAACCCCCCCCCCCTTGCCAACATTTCCGGTAAAAATTTTTGAGGTTCTTTTTTCATTCCAAAAGTGCCACTCGAACCCGGTGCCGCCTCCCCAACTTTGTGATGCTTCTTACGCCCCTGAAAGGAGCTAATTTGCACATAAACCCTGCGATATAAACGAAGGGCATTCGCTCGAAACGTCGAAGTTTAAGTTATATTTTCCAGTAAGTTGTTTATCCTTCACAACGCAGCTGTCTGTTTTCTTTTCTACGTACATTGACACCGTTCTTTGGAAATTAATTAAATGCAGGGAATATAAAATAGTGAAGTAATACATTTTCACAATTAAACTTATCTGAAAGTTTATCCTACTCTAATTAGAAGTTCTTCTTTTTGATATATAAAACATTCAGATTATATAAAATGCAAGCGCATTGAACTCTACGGTCGATGAATGCGCGGAATCTTAAAAGAAAACTATATTGAAAGCTAAAGTTTTTCATCTAAGTCGGGAAGTGACATATTGAATTTAAATGCAAATTTTAAGTATAGTTGTAAAACAAGACACTATAATTATCTACTTGGTAAACAAATTAGACACCTCCAACGCAAAGGCAACTACACGAATGTTTAACTTTTGGAAATCCACAAGTTGCATGCAAGTAATCAAGATTGTACTATATGGTTAAACCATTTTAGATTGTTTTTCGTTGTAATATATAACAACTGAATTATGATAATGATTGTATCGTAGAAAAAGATAAATTATACTTTACAAAAAAATGGACGTGACTAGTAATTTTCGAGTCATAACTTTGGTCAAAAACGTCCGCGCAGCTTAGGGACCGGTAATTGTTTATGGCAGGGGTAGGGGCCGAAGAGAAAGTGTAATGCAGCGGGAAAAAATAAATCATTACGCCACCTTTTTCGAAACAAAGCTACCCCACCGGTGGAATGCCGGAAAAAATTTTACCGCACCCAAAATAATTTTGTTGCAACGTCAAAGGTCCAGCATAAAATATGTAATGAAACATAGTAATTTGTATGCGTATTACTCATCAAGGTCCAAAATTGCCCATAATGAGTAAGATCATCTACTGTTAGAGAGTAAATAATAATATTATAGGGTGCTTTGACCACAGTGGCCATTATCATTAAAAGGAAATGGGACTGATTGATAAACATACTAGTTTTATCAATATCCCTGGCTTGCCCCTTATTTCTTGTGGAGTACCAGTATAAATTAATTAAAGCACACTAACAGTCATGTGGGGCATGCTATATAGTTTGCATTGTGCATTATTATGGGTTACGTAGCTCTACAAAGGATTAAAGGATTTTAACATTTCTGGACTGGAGATTCAGATGGAAGTTACATTGCTCACTCATATTAAGACTGGCATTCACTCTGACCCAAGAAAATGCACTGTAATAAAATTAATTCAAATTTGCATGTTATTGGGAACATGGGAGTTCGGATGAATGAATGCTAAAATCTTTGCGGTTGGCCATTTAATATTTGGATACTTCGCTAGTTTACTTCTCTAATTTTTACATACTTGTTAAATTGAAATATGATTGGCTTTTTATAGTTTGTATTCAATGCTATATTCCCTTTTCACGAGATATTGCTAGTCCCATAAACATATATTAATGCACCTATCAATGTTAACCACGAGGGTGGGGGGGGGGGGTTGGGCAGAGGGTGGGGATTTGATCAATCAGTTTGTCGTGGACTGGCACTTTTCTTCTGAGTGGCCCGAGGGTGAGTATTTTTGACAGATTAACACTGATCTCAGACGATATACTGAAGAAACCCGAGACAATTTTTGAACAAACTGAAGACTGGGCACTATTCATCGCTCGCAACCTCGTTCCCAGGCTCTTTCCTCTATGCTCCTAGGAGCGTAGAGGAAAGAGCCTGGGAACGAGGTTGCATCGCTCGCCGTCTCGCGCGTGGTTTTTATAAGAAATATGGATATTTCTGGACATTTTATGATTATGTTAATATCGATTTATCATTTATACTTATATTAAAACATCACATTATGTACTATTTAAAACATGAGTAGGACTGTTTTTTCAGATATAAAACGTGAAGCGCAGCCGAGCGTTTTATGTCTCATAAAACACTCCTACTCGTGTTTTAAATAGCTTAAAAGACGACTACAAAACAATACCAATTAGGATGAACGATTATATAATGCCACATGCATACATGTGTTTTATCAGATTTTTAAGTCGCTCCACGTGACGTAATATGGCTAACACGATTTGTGTTGTCTCAGATCCGGACTAGATTGCTCGCAAATTGTATAGTTAGTTTTTTATTCGATCTAAACATAAATTAAAGGAAAATGCATTACATTACAAATTACATATAGACATTGAATAATATAAAATTATATATCTGTCACTTCTGTGGCGAGTTCTAGCTTGCTTTTACATAATAACATCAGGTTAGCATGTCTTTACAGGTTCGCAGTGTCTACTTCAGGTTAGCAGTTTCTATTTCCGTTCAACTCTCCGTTTAAATGTCTGATAAACGTCCTTAAATTTGTCTCCCTTCAGGTTGGCATAAAAAAACCACAACGTGTTCGAGTGACATGACCTTGAACTACATACAAAATTGGATCGTTCAGGAGGAGCCACGTCAACACCCTCCCCCCTCCCCCTCCCCACCCCGATGAGGTTGTCAGCCTCATCTCAACCTACTTGTCCTCTTCGTATCCCTCAGCTGGATGTATTATCGCAATCTTCGTTATCGGTCTTTGATACTCCGATGTAGCTGTCTTCACTCTTACGTTTCGTACTCTTCCGTCCTCTCCTGGATACACGTTGATAATTCTTCCAACTGTCCAAGAACCACGAACAGCGTTCGTATTTTCTATAGCAACTATATCGTCGATCCTCACGTTTCTCCCTTCGACTATCCATTTCGTTCTTAGAACCAGCGTTGGAAAGACATCTCGTTTCCATCGTTTCCAAAAAGCGTCCACAATCCTTTGGACAAATTCCACTCGATGTCGTGGGTTGCTTGTTTTTAAAAATTGTCCTTGCGGTACTGTAGATGATGCTGGTCCTTGTAGAAGGTCGTTGGGGCATCGGTAAGAGCCATCATTAGGTTCATTAGGTATTCGACCAATCGGACGTTGGTTGATCAGGTTGGCAATTTCCATTAGACAAGTGTAAAACTCGAACGGAGTGAGGACGTTCGCCGATAGCTTTCTTTAACGATTTCTTTGTATATTTCACTAAGGATTCAGCAGATCCATTCTGAGGAACAGCAGGATTTAAAAATTTCCACTCCATTTCCCCTTTGGCTCCAAATTCTTTCAATTCTTTAGGATTCCATCCCTTTATCATTTCTTTCAGCTCCCCTTCTGCACCCACCAACTGTGATCTATGAAGCGCCATTTGTGACAAAATACCAGCAATAATATGTATAGAAAAATTAAATTTATGTATCAAAAGTTCATATTTTTATGGTTAAAATGCAAAAACAAATGTATCAGAGTTTCTTTATGTATCAAAAGTTTATATATTTATGGTTAAAATGCAGAAAAAAATGTATCAGAGTTTCGTTATAAAAGTACAGCAGAGAACAGTCAGCAGTCTCTAACGTATAAAAGTTGCAACACTTTATGTTGTACAAATATAATGGTCTATTTTCGCCATTTTCGGGCCATAATTGCAAGAAGATCCAACATGGCGGATCAAAACAATTCGAGCAATTCGCTCGGTTCTTCTGGTTTTTCTATTGAACAACTGGTAAACGGAGTTTTATTGCATCCACAATTTCGTCACGTTGTCAGCAACATGACCTCCTCCAAGAATTCAACTTCAAATGTCACATCGACAACAACTAATACTTCAGCTGGTCCATCGACTCCCTCAGCTGGTCCATCGACTCCCCCTGTATTAACCCATTCGAGCGCGACAACGAGTCATGTCGGTAATCAAAATCAAAGTCCGGCTATAAATACAATGCCAAAGTGAGGGATTGTATAAAATTATTAATAGGCTATTTGATTTAATATGTGTACCCCCACCCCCCCCTTACAAAAATTTCACATAAAATTTCATATATGAAAATTTCATATATGAAATCGTTATATGGAATTGAAACAAATTTCATATATGAAATATTTCATATATGAAATATTTCATATATAAAATTGTTTCAATTCCATATAAAGATTTCATATATGAAATATTTCATATATGAAATTGTTTCAATTCCACATAAAGATTTCCTCTATGAAATATTTCCTATATAAAATTTTCATATATGAAATTGTTTCAATTCCACATAAAGATTTCATATATGAAATATTTGATATATGAAATTTTCATATATGAAATTGTTTCAATTCCACATATAATTATATAAAGATTTCATATATGAAATATTTCATATATGAAATTTTCATATATGAAACTGTTTCAATTCCACATAAAGATTTCATATATCAAATATTTCATATATGAAATTCCACATTAAGACTTCATGTATGAAATTCTCACATGTTTCAAATGTTCAAATATTAAGTTTTATGCATTGAAATTAAGTGAGTCAGGGGAAGTTTATGCGATCCCATTTACCCGAGATTAAACAAAGCGAGCAATGGCTTTGAGGTATTGAAATAAGTCCTTATGAAACCAGACAAGCACATGCTAACAACAGACTAAATATAGATCAATGCAAAAAACATATTCGCACGAATTAGTGCTCAACAATTACATTTTGCCCATTTGATATTTCTACAGAACAAAATCAAAAGCCACCTGGATCATGTTATTTTTCCGAATCATTAACAAATGACTTATTTCAATATCTCAAAATCATTGCACGCTCGTTTAATCTTGTGTAAGCGGGATCATATGAACTGCCCCTTAGAAAAATCTACCTAAATAAGAAAGTTACGTGCTATGCAGGTTTGATATACCACATCAGACACTAGTTTATTCGAAATATACAAATTACAAAATAATAAAAACTTAATTACAATATACATACAGTATATTTACTCTCGGTTACAAAAAATATCCCAAATTGTGTGTGATTTTGAGGAAATTATCCATTTGGGACATTTTTTGATACACCCTGTATATGCATTATTCAACTAAAAGCATGCAGAAATAAAAAATCAGGGGTGGGTTACCAGTAACACCATGCAGGGACAAGACCAATGATTAAAATTAAGAAATGCATATAATATCATTACTAAAATATTAAAACAAATACTGTATGTCTGTGTTCTCTTAACAGTTCTCCTGCTTCTCCAGTTCACATTGAATCGTTTTCTTGCATTCTTAGTTAATTTCGAAAAATTCTTGGGCCTATCCACCTCAGTTAAGGCATTTGCTGTCAGCATGGACTAATAAAATAAATTATATGGTTTATAAATGGTTTAGAAATATATATGGTTTAGAAATATGTAAATGAAATATATAAATGGTTTAGAAATTATATGGTTTATATTATATGGTTTATACATTAAAATTAATATACATTGTGAGATCTGAATTTTCTTCTTGTCAGTGACTGCAGTCAAGCCTGTACTGTTTCAGTCAGTCACTGTCCACATGTCATAAGACTAAATCGTTAGACAGAGTAAAATAATACTTAAAGCAGGGCGCATTGGCACAATGCAACTGAATGGATTAACTAGATTATTAGACATATGGCCAGATAGGCCACCTATTAAATGCCACAGCTCTCCCCTTGACGAGTAAATTGTCTGGCATTAGACAGAGTAAACTAATAAAGCAAGGCACATCGGTGCAATGCAACTCAATGGATTAACTAGACACATGGGCAGTTAGGCCAGTTTTAATCCATTAAGCACCAGAGCTCTGCCCTTGATGAGTAAATCATCTGGCGTTAGACAGAGTAAAATAATAAAGCAGGGCACATCAGGGCGCAATGTGTTAACTTATATCACAAAGAAAAATATCAGAAAACTTACATGCTTGCCTGTCTTGTTTTGGTGGGTCTGCCAGTCTCCTTGGTTGCCTATCTTGTTTTGGTAGGTCTGTCGGTCTCCCAGTGCATGTGGAAGGGAAGCCATTACACATCTGAGGGTTAACTATAAAAGGGTACAAATGGTGCATATATTAAGGAGGCTCCCTACAGTTCCGTGCGGGATGTTCGCGGGACAAGTACGTGAACTATCCCACGCAAAACTGCCTGATCAAAACAAAACAAAAATTGACCATGCTTTTTTTAAAAATAAAGCTATTTCTGAAAGGTTTCTAATGGAAAAAAGCGTTGAATAATACTTCGTTTTGAGTGCCAAATCACTTGCGAGTCTATACAGCAATTCTACATATGATACGAATATCACTAGACCAAAAAATAGCTACGAAACAATATTTTAAATTTTTTTTATACACTGTCAACTGACTATTAAAACTGTAAAACATTTGCAAAATTGCATACAAACTTTAAAAAGTTGTTTACTTCTCAAGAAAACGTTCATTATATGTAAACAGAAAAATATTTCAGTTTCATAGCCTAATTGTTCATTTTTAGCAAAAAGTACAAAACCAAACATGGTGGACGTGTTTTTTTGTTTAAACACGTCCACCTGTTAATAGGTTGTTACAGCTCATAGATTGAGTAAACGGCAGAATTCAATTAGCTTCAACCTTGTTTTCATCGATTTAATCCTTCAAAATAATCCTTGGCTGTCCATAGCACTCAAATAAATCGAAAAGTTGACAAAAACAAAACTACATGCGGCTCGATTTTGCTGAATGAAAACTTGTTCTGCGCCCGCGTACAATCTTTTACTAGTCAGCGACGCTTTTCAATAGGGGAATTTCTCGAGTTACACGAGGCTATTTTCAAACTTTATTTGCATTTTACTCATTAGTTTCATCGGTGACATATCTTCAAATTTTGACCACGAATTTATTTTGCGGTAAATTTTATAAATTTCAAATTTTAAAAAAATCTGTAGTGTGAAAATTTCGCAATAAATTTTTCGCTTTTAAAAAAATCACACACTACAGAATTTTTTTAAACTTTCACCACAGTCAGGGATGGATTTACTGGGGGGGTGCGGGGGGGTGCACACCCCCCCTAGCCCTGGCCAGGAGGGGTGCAGGGGGGTGCTATTTTTCATGATAAAGCATAAAATTATCAGAGACAAAATGAGATTCAGTAATTTGAGTAATAACATGATGATAAGCGAACTGTGAACAAAAATTACAATTCAAATAATGTAGCTAGACTTTGTAGTGGTTAAGCAAGTTGATGGATGTGTAAAGTCACTGGAAAGCAATTGCAACGTACTCGTCCGGAAAAAATTTTTCCTAAAAAGTTGTCGATGGGGGAGGTTGTTGCTTTCCGAAAATTTTTTTTGGCAGAGCACCCCCCTACCAGACCATGCTGGATCCATCCCTGACCACAGTTGCAGAGCATCATTCCTTATTGATATATGAAATAAAAAAGATAGGTCACCGACATCGTTTTTGAGATAGCGGCACATTTATGGGTTAAATTGGAAGGCTTTATGCTGTCGTCATGTTGCCATGGGAACATTGACATCGTCGAAATCTAGTTCGAAATATTGCTTAGGTGACCAATATTGCCACCAAGTCGAAAAGAACTCGCGTTCTGCACGAACAAGCCTGTTTTACGGAATTATTGGTTAAACAAGAATAACTGTAGGGAGCCACCTTAAATAAGTATGTTGAATACGAATATACTGTACAGTCATACCAACACTCTCCCCTTAACAATAAAGTCGTTTGGCATTTCAAGACAATGAAACATAACAAATAACTAGGGATGCAGTGGATATCATATCTGGCCAGATATTGAGATTTTACTTCATTTTCTGTTACATGGCCACCCAATACTGGGTATTATTTACATAAGGTTCAGGGGCCGGTTGTATAAAAACGTAATTAGCGCTAACTGTAGTTAGCGTTAATCACTGTAGTTAAATCCTTAACTGTAATTAGTTAACTACATGACTTAACTGCGTTGCACAAAACGTAGTTAGTCGGATAGTTAACTAATCACGTAGTTAACTGTGCGTGGGGCTTGCGTGGGGCGTGTAACGACCGCTGACACACATTTTCAACACGATTGTGGACTCGCATTTTGCAAATAGGCGGGAATTTTATTCAAAACACTAGAAAACAGTGAAAACTAAACAAAAAATAAAGAAAAACCGCCACAAAAATCATAAAAGAATGCAGTTTTTCCTTGAGATGTCTACGTTAAACCAAGGTATAGCTGTTTGGCAATTACATATCAGTGTTTCTTGGTGTAATGGACCATACTTCGTCTTCGAGAAATCCTCCTGTGCAAAAATATGTTCTGTTTTCGTAAAAATACCAAAGCATAGCATTTGAAGAGTTTATATTGTCAGGAAACATTCACAGGAAAGATAGCGATTGAAAATCTCAGGTAAGCGTTGCTTTTCATTATTGTTTTACTGAAAAATGTTGTTCACTCCTATACAAACGCCATTTTTAACTACGTTTTGGACAGTTAACTATACCCTAAAGCATAGTTAACTTTAACTACTTTTTAACTGCAGTTAAGGCTAACTACACTTTTATACAACCGGCTTAACTACGTGATTAAAGTTAACCACTTTTTAACTACTTTTTAACTGCAGTTAGCGCTAACTACACTTTTATACAACCGGCCCCAGGCCTTCAAAATTTACAGTTACTGCAGGTTAGATGGTTTGATTAGGTTAGATGATTTGATTAGGCTAAAAAAGCAGGGGTGGTTATCATATTTTTATTCAATGATTGATAACAGGAATGCTTGTAAACACTATTTTCAAGATTTTATATGCTTGTTTGTAATTGACCATTGAACTAATGCAAGTGAGGCTTTTGCTGCCAATGATGCATGTTTACTAGTGCTAGACTGTGAAGTTCTTTCCTATTATTTCAAATCAAAATTTTATAAACACCATCACTTTTTAACCAATTAAAATGATTACTTAAATTAACCTTAAATGAGGCCTGAACCTTATATACTTGAATAATACCCTGAATCTGGCTCCAGGGATATTTTTCAACTATCCAACATATCCTCAACTATCCAATATATCTGGCTGGAGGGCAAAAAGACTCTACCCTGCACACCCCTACAAAGAACTTAAAGTATGTAACATAAGAAGAAATTGCTCCTTAGGTGTTAATAGGTGAAATATGGGCAAGTAGTCCACAGTCGATAATCAAAATTGTCTAGCATGACATGTCAGAGTTGAATATCAAAGTACTTACAGTAGGTAGCGTTAGGGAAAATTGTATCTAAATATATCAACATGAAACATGGGCAGAGTCAAGCTAGACAGTTCCCTTGACAAATAAAATTGTCCGGCATTAGGCAAGATAACATTTAACAAAGTGCTGAAAATTGGGCTCATTGGAGTGAATTAGTGAAATGGGTAATAATTCCAAAAACCATCAAATCCTTGCCGGGGTGTATATCTCAAATATATAAAATGTAGCCCAAAGGTTGTTACATATATTATCTGATCATGCAGGTGGCATAAATAAATGTTATTTGCTGTGTTGGTGTAATGTACTCAGGTGAATAAGATGCTTGTGTGATGTTACTCTGATTGTATATCCTCACCAGGCAGGCTTGAAAAATATACCTGGCCACGGTGGGATTCGACCCTACGACCTTTGGAGTACTAGCCCAAGCTCTTCCAACTGAGCTACGCGGTCAGGTCAGTTCGAGTATGCTATATTTCGGAACTGAGTCTAGTTCCTTCGATATCAGTGTAATCTAATAATCATGATATTTGCTGTGTTGGTGTAATGTACTCAGGTGAATAAGATGCTTACAAGTGTGATGTTACTCTGAGTGTATATATATATATATATATATATATATATATATATATATATATATATATATATATATATATATATAGTATATATATATATATATATATATATATATATATATATATATATATATATATATATATATATATATATATATATATATATATATATATATATATATATATATATACACCACCTGGTCACGGTGGC